TGTAGCGTTAGGGACCTTCTGTAACGGCCTGAATGGGTCTTCATTGTTATGGAGATCAGAGAGTTAAGCTTGGGGAGAGGCTGGCTCTGCCTGGAGCTCAGCCGCCTCACTGATACCGCTGTTCTCAGGAGATCTTCCCAGGGCGAGACAATGCCGAGGGCTTCAGCGGGTTCCTCTGTCCCTCTGAGACATCATTGTGCCTCCGTGACACCAGGAGGCCTTAAGCAGCTGCTGGTGCCGGGTTGAATAGAGCCCAAAAGTGGCGTTCCAGCCACCAGTTTGGGCTGAATTACTGCAACTTGCAAAACTTGGGGGCAGTGCCGGCAGGGGTCTGGCCAAAGCGGGGCTTTCCTAACCAGACTCCTTTTCTTACTTCAGATGGACGGGCGATGCCGATAAGCGCGCCTCTGCCATCTGCACTTGTCCGTTTGATGTGGTGGCACTTGGGTGTGGGAGGAGGTCGGGGTTTGAAGGGACGGAGGAGTGTTGGCTGTTCCGCCGGCGCGTTGGGATGCTCCCGAGTAACAGACAGCAGAGGGACGCTGATCCTCCTCTCTGCAGGAGAACTTGTTTGTTTGCGCTGACTTGGTGTGTTTGCTAAGTTACAAATGTCGTTGTTGTTTTGTTTTTCTTCACAGGGCCTACTTGGATGTCACATTCCAGGTAAACTGTTTGTAAACTCTTATCTGCTCTCATCTGTTCCAGCTTGTGGGGTTGGTGGTTGGTTGGTTGTTTTCCCTCAACAGCTTTATTTTCTCGGTTTTAAGAAGGTCCTGTGTTCTCTCCCTTCAAGGCACGTTCAGCCCCAGGACAAGAGCATGAAGAACACATGCCCAACCTATTCCCCGGGTAAAGCTGCTACTGTGAAAACGAAGTCTCTGTTACCTGCGAAGGACGACCTGGAGCCTGAGCTGGCACCAGCAGCCTACAGCAGCCCTCTGGTCTGCCAGGAAGAAGAGTGCTTAAATATTGATGCTCAAGAAGGTGAGCAGCCAACGAAGGAGCCGGAGCCTGCGAGCAAAAAGGAGCAGCTGTCGGTAAAAAAGCTGCGGGTTGTACTGTTTGCCTTGTGCTGCAACACTGAGCAGGCTGCTGAGCACTTCCGAAATCCTCAGAGGCGGATCAAGCGCTGGCTACGAAGGTTTCAAGCTTTCCAGGAAGAGAACTTGGCGTCCCTGTCAGAGGGCAAGTACCTCAGCTTGGAGGCTGAAGAGAAACTCGCGGAATGGGTCCTCACGCAGAGAGAGCAGCAGCTGCCTGTGAACGAGGAGACTCTCTTCCAGAAAGCCACCAAGATCGGCCGATCCCTCGAAGGTGGCTTCAAGATCTCCTACGAGTGGGCGGTGAGGTTCATGCTCCGGCACAACCTCAGCACGCACACTCGAAGGGCGGTGGCTCACCCTCTCCCCAAAGACGTAGAGGACAACGCCAGTTGCTTCATCGAGTTTGTGCAGCGGCAAATCCACACTCAAGACCTGCCTCTCTCCATGATCGCGGCCATCGATGAAATCTCCCTCTTCCTCGACGTGGAGGTGCTGAGCAGCGATGACCGGAAGGAGAACGCTCTGCAGACGGTGGGCACCGGAGAGCCCTGGTGCGACGTTGTCCTCACGATCCTTGCTGACGGCAGCGTTCTCCCGACGCTGGTCTTCTACCGGGGCCACGTGCAGCAGCCCGCCAACGTGCCGGAATCTATCATGTTGGAGGCAAAGGAGAATGGATACAGCGACGATGAAGTCATGGAGCTGTGGTCGTCCCGAGTGTGGCAGAAGCACACGGAGTGCCAGAACAGCAAGGGCATGCTGGTGCTGGATTGTCACCGAACACACCTATCCGAGGAAGTACTTTCCCTGCTGAGCGCGTCCAGCACTCTGCCGGCTGTTGTCCCTGCGGGCTGCAGCTCCAAAATCCAACCTCTGGATGTTTGTATAAAAAGGACTGTGAAAAATTTCTTGCATAAAAAGTGGAAAGAGCAAGCCAAGGAAATGGCGGACTCCACATGCGACTCGGACATTCTTCTTCAGCTGGTTTTGTGCTGGCTGGCGGAGGTCCTGGAGGTCATTAGTGACTCTCCCGAACTCGTGCAGCAGTCCTTCCTGGTGGCCAGCGTGCTGCCCGGCCCGGACGGCACGGCCAACTCGCCCCGGCGCAACGCCGACATGCAGGAGGAGCTGATCGCCTCTCTGGAGGAGCAGCTGAAGCTGAACGACGGGCAGCAGCAGCAGCAGCAGCAGCAGCAGCAGGAGGAGGCGGCGGCGGCCGAGGTCCAGGACCGGACCCAGGCCGAGGAGGCTGCAGACCCAGAAATCCTCCATCGGCTCTTCGAAGGGGAAAGCGAGACTGAGTCGTTTTATGGCTTTGAAGATGCTGATTTGGATCTGATGGAAATCTGAGCACTGATCTGCGAATCGTGATCCGGAAAGGGTTATTTTTTAAATAAATGTTGGATGAGACCATTACACTTCCCTGTGGATTTGTGGGTTTAGGAAATTCGTAGGCGATCACTCAGATAAATAGCCATTTATGCTGTTCATTTATAAGTTTTGTGCTTTTTTAAAAGAAAAATCACTGTGTTGGTATTTTCTGAAAATATATTGTGGGTGAATATTTTTGCGTTTTCTTTACCTCACTGTATCATAGTTTCTGTTTTTATTGTGCAGAAATGTTTTGAATTATACATTGTCAATGTGACCATTTCTAAAGAAAGGAAAAAAATATGTAGCTAATGAACCAGTATATAAATCCTTTTGGTTGTCTTAACACAGATTTTTTTTTTTTTTCTTCTTTCTTAACACTTGACCCAGAAATTTAGGTTTCTGCGGAAACTTTAGATATGAGTTACTGCTTTAATGTGTGAACCTTCTATAATTGGCCATTAAGATTTGGGTTTGGTTTGCCTTTTTTTTTTTTTTTTTTGGTTCCTAAGAGTAATTATCTTGCTTGTGAATTTGGACGCGGGGTAAGAACACAAGTGAAAGCGTTTTGCCCGTTCCCGGGAGCCACGCGCCGTTGCGGTGGGGTCGGAGCGCGGTGCCCGGTCGGGGACGGGGGGGCAGCGCTGGCCCCGAGCCCTCGCTGGCCGCTGGCTCCTCTCCCCGGCCGGCGCCCGCCGTGCTCCGCAGTGTTCCTGACAGAGGGAAGTCGAGTCTGTCTTGATCTTCCCGGAGCGTGGGTGGGCGTTGAGACCGTACGGACCATTGACCGTCGACCTTTTAACTACTAGTAGTTGATAAACCTGCTTTAACCAGTGGCATCAGACACTACGTTCCTTAGAATTAGAAACCTGATTTAATGAAACAAACTGTGACGTGCACAAAAAGAAGACGTTTGTTTTTATTTTTCACTGCCAGCTTAAATTTTTCTACAATTTGCATGTTTGAGGGTTTTTTAATTGTATGTATTATGGTATAAACGGAAAGCATTTTGACATACAGAATTCGGAAGCACCTGCACCTTTCTGTTTCCATAGAGGTTTTGTGAACCTTCCCTCTGACCGAAGGAAAGCAGGAGGCAGCATGTGCAGACCTGTAAATGGTTCATCTTTAAAATGTACATAAGTGGAACATTTAATAAAACCAGGGAAATGGATTTATAAACATGCGTTTTTATTATGAAGAACTATTTAACTCTTGTGATATCGTAATGCTTAATATAAAGTGCGTCCTGGATTGCTCCACACTACGCCAGAGCTGGGCCCCCGCTCCGCACCCGGAGCCGTTTAGCATGTCCTGAGGAAGCCCAGAGACGGGGTAGTAATTAAATGTGTTTACATGTCATTAACACTTGAGGCAGAGCTCTGTCCGACTTCTGCGCCCCCTCCCTGCCCTTTAACTCTACAGTATGTTCAGTGGAACAACCTACTCCCCACTGAGATTTTCCTTTTTTTTTTAAATAAAAGTCTGAAAAAGCATTAATAAAATACTCTCCTGAATAAGTATTTTTACTGTTGTTCATCTCGGGTAGTAGTAAACACCACTGTTAATACTGTTTACAAATTTATTTCATATAAGGCTGAGAAACACCCAGCTCGGCCCTTTCCAAAGTACACGGAACACCGTTTTGTTCCCATCCTCCCGTCGCCAGCCGGCACGGGGACAGAGGTGCCGCGGCGCTGGCTTCTCGCGGGGACCTGTGCCATCATCGTCTTTTGATTTTCGGAGCCCGTGTATCCCCGTGTGTACCCGCTGGCAGTAGGCACAGCCATGGGGAGACCTTAATTCTTCTGATCCCGGTGATGAGAGAACACTGAAGCAGCTGAATTCTGTTTTTGTAAAGGTTGACTGAGGCTCTTTACCTGTGCTGCCCGGAGGACAGGCGCTTGCAGGAGAACGCGGCACGCACGCGCTCAAGCTGTCAGCAGCTTTCACCCCTCGGAACCGGGAGAATTCCCAAAAAATGGTATTTCCATCCCACCCCCAGCACAAACACGCAGGCTTCTCTTAACAGATTTATTTTGTTTCCAAAACAAGTCAGATCAAAGCTCCAAAGGGAGTAACGGATTTACAGCAGGTACAAAGGGTGAGAACGCGGACGCGGCAGCCTGGAGCAGCTCTGCGGAGATCACTCAAAGCCACTGCAAGAAGAGATTTTGGTAAGGTCAGGATAAGGCACGACCTGGACGCGGCTGACACCCGCACCAACAAAATCACCACTTTCGCCTTTATCGGATGACACTTGGCTGAGGAAAAGGCGGCAATGCAGCCGGGACGGCCACGGAAAGCTCTCCCGTGTGGACGGAACCGCATTAACGGAACCGCACTAACGCCTTCAGGCCTCGGCCGGACAGGGGAGAGCGGCCGCCCGGGGCCCAAAGCTGCCGCCCGGAGCGGGAGGAATGTTGTTGCAGCTGGGATGAAGGAGACTCCTCCCGAAGCGCGGGGCAGGGACGGTACCCTGCAGCGGCCGCGCATCCCCCCGCCTTTATTAACCACTTCATTTTGTGCCTTCGGGCTCTGCCGGACCAACGGGCCAAGAGCTCCGAGTGCGTAACGCAGCGGGTGTTACCTGACAAGGTGTGCGATGTCCCAGTTGGCCTCCAGGGTCAGGGGTCCCTCCACCTCCACACCCTTCTCCGTCGCGATAGCCACTTCGTACTGAGGAGAGAAAACACTGACAGGTCTCGGGAAAGCCCAACTGCCACGTGCAAGATGGGCCCTGTGAAAGCTCTGATCAGTCGGGGTCAGGAATAACAGCCGTCCCTTAAACAAGTTTGTTTTAACGTGGCTTTTCAGTAACATTTTTACTTTTTCCTTGGTGGGCAGGTTGAGACAGCAGCGGTAAACAGAACACTGCCAAAGCTGAGAGACTGCAGCCTCTGGGTGCTACAACCGCAGCGATGGGAGAGGTATCATCACGCCAGAGACGAGCATTGCTTGGACCCAAACAGCTCTTCTGGGGCTGCAGGGCAGCGGGGGAGACTGGCTCTGCAGGACAGCTTTGCTAACAGGATCCCGTAACACACCTGGGAGTCACCGCGAGGTCCCCCAAGATGGGAGCCGGCCTGGGGTGATGCCTGCAGGTCTGCCGGAGGCGCGCAGACGGCACGCCACCTCTCCGGCCCAGGCACACCAAAGCCCGGCACTTACCCTGTTGAAGGATCGAGCGTCTCTGTAATACAAAATTTTCATGCAACGGTCAATCAAATCACGGGCCTCCTCCTTCGTCAGGCTGGGTTTCTTCTCCAAGACTTCTCTCATCAACGGCTGGGGAAAATACATAAATAAATATACAATCCGATAGCTCAACAGCTCCGTCACCCAGCGCCGAGGTCGCTTCCGCAGCTGAGCGAGAGCGTACTCTACCTGAGCTAGGTATGCTCCGTAACCCGTAGCGAGCGTAGGGGCTTCGTAGGCCACCCCGAGCATGTCCACGTAACCTAGGAAGCTGAAGGGACACATCTGTGAGCACTGCGGCAGGGAGGGACTCGGCTTCGGAGCCCCTCTGAACCCTGTGCCACAGGGAGCAGCCCCGGGGAAGGACACGCAGTAACCATCGCGCGGTCCACGTCGTGCATCCTCGCTCACCTCTCGCCGTTGTAGTAGCCTCCGATGACAACGGTGTTCCAGAGCGGATTTATCTTGGACCTCCGGTTGTACATGACTCTCGTCAGCCAGGAATGGATGGCTTTCGGGCTGTAACTGTGACCATCACCCAACAGCTCCTCGTCGATTCTAATTTAGGTAGAAATTTCACCCAACTAAGAAAAGCTGGAAAGCAGATGGATAAGAGAGCAGCAGCCCACCAGCACGACAGGGTCCCCTCCGACAAACTGTTTGCAAACACGGCCTTACGAGAGGTGAATCAGCCACAAAAAAATAACCGAGACCGGTTCTCAGCAGGGAATTTGGAAAAGACACTGGTACCAAAGGGACTGTCAAAGGGCAAGGGGGATTTCAGCTCGGTTTTATCCCCACTCATTTAATTATGTTTCAGTCCTTTGATGCCTGGGAAAAGGGAGCAGCCCAGCAGGAACCACAGAATGGTCAGGGCTTGCCCAGCCCGAGCCAGGGCCACGGG